AGCCTGCCCGCCGCCCGGGGCGGGCCCGGCCCGGCCCGTTGACAATGTGAATATTCACATTGACATGTTAACATTCACATTGATAGGAGTGTAAAATTAGTCCGCGCCTCGTGGCTGCCCGAAACCCGCCTATGGCCCAAGCGCAAGCCCAGCCCGGCTTGTTGACAATGTGAATATTCACATTGATATGTTAACATTCACATTGATAAGAGTATAAAATTGGCCAGCGGCCCAAAGCGGGCCCGACCCGGCCCGTTGACAATGTGAATATTCACATTGACATGTTAACATTCACATTGATAAGAGTGTAAAATTGGCCCGCAGCCCGTGGGCGGCCCGACGCCCGACCACAGCCCGAGGTAGGCTTGGCCTGACCCGTGACAATGTGAATATTCACATTAACATGTTAACATTAACATTGATAGGAGTGTAAAATTTCCCGCTGCCCGTAGCTTGCCCGCGGCCCGGGATAAGCTTGGCTCGGCCCGTTAACAATGTGAATATTCACATTGACATGTTAAAATGCACATTGATAGGAATGTAGAATTGGCCCGCGGCCCGTGGGCTGCTCGAAGCTCGCCCATGGCCCGAGGCAGGCTTGTTTCGGTCCGGACCCGAGCATGTCCGAGACCCTAGATTAGGGCCTAGGTCATCACTTTGAAGCCCGACCCGGCCCATCGGCCCACTTAAGGCCCATTCAAGGCTCGGTCCGAGACCGAGCCCGTGTCGAGGCGCAATGTATTTTTTGTGAAAAATAATAAAATTTTGGTAGAAAAAATTAAAAAGAATTAAAAACAATGGCCAGGCCCGCCCAAGCCCGACCTAAGCTCGAGGCTAGGCCCAGGCCCACCGGCCCGACCCGAGGCTCGATCCATCGGCCCGTTCAAAGCCTAAATACCCTTGTACCAGGGTTAGGGCTTGGGCCTAATTTTTTGGCCCGTGGGCCGGGCAGACCTGGCCCGAGAAAGGCTCGTTTGGACCCAAGCTCGAGCCTAGTCCGAGACCCTAGGCTAGGGCCTGGGCCATCACTTTGAAGCCCGGCCCGGCCCATCGGCCCGGTTAAGGCCTATTCAAGGCTCGATCCGAGGCCCGGCCCGCGTCGAGGCCTAGTGTTTTTTTTTTTGTGGAAAATAATAAAATTTTGGTAGAAAAAATTAAAAAGAATTAAAAAAAATGGCCAGGCCCGCCCCGGGCCGCCCACGGGCCGTGGGCAGGTTTCAGGCAGCCACGTGGCACGGGCTAATTTTACACTCCTATCAATGTGAATTTTAACATGTCAATGTGAATATTCACATTGTCAACGGGCCGGGCCGGGCCCGCCCTAGGCCGCTGGCCAATTTTATACTCTTATCAATGTGAATGTTAACATGTCAATGTGAATATTCACATTGTCAACAGGCCGGGCCACCCACGGGTCGTGGGCGGGTTTCGGGTAGCCACGAGGCGCGGGCTAATTTTACACTCCTATCAATGTGAATGTTAACATGTCAATGTGAATATTCACATTGTCAACGGGTCGGGCCCGTCCCGGGCCGTGGGCGGGTTTTTGGCCGCCCATGGGCCACGGGCCAATTTTATACTCTTATCAATGTGAATGTTAATATGTCAATGTTAATATTCACATTGTCAACGGGCCGGACCGGGCCCGTCCCGGGCCCGTCCCGGGCCGCCGTAGGTCGCGGGCGAGTTTCGCTCCGCCACGGGACGCGAACAAATTTTATACTCCTATTAATGTGAATGTTAACATGTCAATGTGAATATTCACATTGTCAATGGGCCAGGCCCGCCCCGGTCCGACTCGAATTTTTCTGGGCACCCACGAGAATCGACATGGGCCGGGCCCCTAAACATTGACGATATAAACATTCACATTGACAGTGTGAATATTCACATTAGGGGTATTTTGGTAATTAAGTCACCCATAGGACTTATTAAAATATAAGAAAATAATGTGAACTAAATGGAATATAAGTAGATGAAAAGGGTATTTTGATCTTCTTATCTCAAATAAGACTTAATGAAATAGTCAAAAAAAATATAAGTGTTATGAAATAAAACTCTTAAAAAATAAATTTATCAAAAAAACTCCCTAATATAAATACATATTTTATGAAGAATTTTGATAGCTTGATGGGCCATGGAACCTATCACCTCCCATGTGAAGTCGCCCGGTGTAAGGTTTCATTTGTTGAATGACACGGAGGTGCAAGTTTTTACATTTGTTTTATTTTTAAACACTGTGTTTGGAATATAATCAACCTTTCACTGTGAAATACATTTGTTTGGTTTAAAATTTTAAAAAATAGTTTTTGAAAATTTTAATTCGTATTTTTTATTTTTAGTAATTTTTTTAACATTTAAATTTTTTTTATAAATTTTTAGATCCACTTAATCTAAATACATTTAAAATGTGTAATATTGTGAATTTTTTTAAAAAAAAACTTCATCAAACACAAAAATATGAAAATTCAATATATTTTCATATTTTATTGTATTCAATTAATTTTTTAAAAAAATTGTACATATTTTTTACTTTGAATTATAATGAAATTAAGTGAATCTAAAAATTAAAGAAATTAATTAAAATATTTTTAAAAATTATTAAAATATAAAAATACGAATAGAAATTCAAAAAACTATTTTTTAAAACTGAAAACCAAACAGGGTTAATGCTTTGATAAATGATTAAATTTTTTTTTTAAATTAGTGGCTTTTTTGTTGATGTGTTTTTTTTAGTTTTCCTTTTCCCTTTTTTCTTTTTTATTTTTTTAGATCATCCAAATTAGCAGAGCATGAAAAATAAAAATAAAAATAATGCAAACTTTAAAAAATTTCACTAAACAAAAAAGTTCAGAAAAATTATAATTTTTTAGCAACTGGGCAAACATAAATAAATCTTGTCAAGAAATTTTTTTTTCCCCCTCAATTATTAACTACAAATTGTACAGCCAAATTGTCATGCCCCAAATTTTAATTACTCGAAAATATTACCAAAAACCTGAAATTTAGGTCTATTTTTTTTTTATTAAAAACATCTATTACTCTTGAGTAATAGAAACATAATAGTACATGTTCTCTCTTTCATGATGAATACAACAATAATAATAATACATTCCCACTTCTACTGTGGAGTTACAAATAAATAAATACAAACATCAATGTACAATGAGATTACACATAAGAGATATATGAACTTCCTAATCCTTCAACCAAACAATCCGAAATCTCTTCTTGTAAAAAAAAATGAAACAACAAGGGGTGAGCATAATTGCTTAGTAGAAATCTCACAGTTCTAGAATAATAACCATCTTATATATAGAAATGATCATGCATGCAGGGTGACACCACATAATAAAGTAATGTTTTGTAATTTCAAAATATCATACGTAGAGTACTTTTTTCTCAAAGTTTATTTGAAACATTGTAAAGAAAACATTCAACCATCAAAATTAACTCTTTTTATCAGAAAAACATAAAATCCTTTTTGAAAACAAATATATTTAAGGAACAATATCATTTTAATTTTATTAACACATTCCATAATATTCCTCATTTAATTTCCATATTAACATTCCTTTTTATTCTCATTCTCCCCTTTTTCTAGTTACATTTATTATAACGCCATAACTTCAAGTTCAAGTTCCCTTAACACTCCAAACATCCCACATACATGCTATTCTCATCAATCTATTCATATTTGCTGTAACTTCTCAATGTAAAAATCTAAATCTTTTTTATAGTCAATAATTGTTATCTGACACCCAACTCCTACTTATCTAACAACTGCATCACATCCACACTTCTATTGTCAACTATAATTCAACATATCACAACTACATCATGATAATATAAACACATATTTTATGAAGAATTTTGATAGCTTGATCGGCCATGGATGATGGAACCTATCACCTCCCATGTGAAGTCGCCCGGTGTAAGGTTTCATTTGTTGAGTGACACAGAGGTGCAAGTTTTTACACTTGTTTTATTTTTAAACACTGTGTTTGGAATATAATCAACCTTTCACTGTGAAAAACATCTGTTTGGTTTAAAATTTTTAAAAATAGTTTTTGAAAATTTTAATTCGTATTTTTTATTTTTAGTAATTTTTTTAACATTTAAATTTTTTTATAATTTTTTAGATCCACTTAATCTAAATACATTTAAAATGCACAAAAATTTGTAAAAATTTATTGAATACAAAAAAAAAATGAAAATATTATATATATATATATATTGTATTCAATGAATTTAAATGGGTTTAAAAATTAAAAAAAAATGATTAAAAGATTAAAAAAATTAAAAAATAAAAAATAAAAAATAACAATTTATATTTATATTTATATTTTGTTCACATTTTTTTCATATTTTTTTTTAAAAAAATTCTTGCTCAAATTGTCAGTACCGACTTACCGGTTTCTATCTCCAAAACAAAAATATATGATTATTTTTAGGAAAATTATTTTTTCATATCTGTGCTACTACAAATTAGTGTCTACAGAGTGAACACACATATCTAACCAACTAAAAATTACAAACACAACATTCAACAGCAACAACAAATTATGAAGTACGAAAAATTGATAACCCATAAAGAATTGCAACGACACTCTATAAAACTATACACCTGCATATGTATAATATGTACACCTCACTTTATATTGCGATATATTATGATAATAATAATAATAATAACAATAATAAATAAAATAAAATAGAAGAGATAAAGCTAATTCAAGGCACGAAAACTTATGCATTTATATGCATGTATATTAATTTTTTAAAATGAATCAAACATTAGATAAATACATATCTAAATCGTGTTTGGATTATAAATTTAAGTAAGAATTTAGAAAAAAAAAATTAAAACAAATGTGAATGAAATATAAGTTAAATTTTTTTTATTTCTCTTTTTATTTTCAAATCCCTATCTAAATTTATAATTCAAACACAAACGTTGAAAAAATTACAAGAGATAAATTAAGGAAAACGAGAAGTACCTGGAAGCAAATTAACTTGAAACAGAGAGAGAGAGAGAGAGAGAGAGAGAGAGAGAGGGACTTGTAAAGAAGGAAAGGGAGGAAGCCTGCTTGACAAATAATAGAGGAGAGTAACCAAGTGCGCTTCCAACCACAGAGAAAAGAGTGACAATAAGGGGAGACTCAAATTAAGGGGTTGTTTGGCAATTAAGGATTTTAGTTAAAATATTAAAAAAATTAATTCATATAAAAAAGTTAAAAATTCTTTTTTATTCACTTAACATTTTGTATATTCTTTTTTGTAAAAAAATTAAAAAAAATTCAAATTTATTAATTTTTTATCTTATATTTTAATAAGAAATCACTAAAAAAGCCATTTCTAAAACCGGTTCTAAAATTTAAGAGTCTTGGGACCACTCATTTAGCAACACCACATTTTAGGTTTACAAGTCAAAAAATTAAAAAATAAAAAATAACAATTTCAGCTCAATAATATTAGAGATTCACATTTTATACTCATAAATGTATCCACGATAATGTGGCAACGATTGTGAATCTCATATCATTGAGTCTTTAGCCAATGACACTTATCAGATTATATCTTCGTGAGTGAAATTGTAAAAGATTTATAAAGATTTCAAGTATTTTCCATTTCGACCAATCGGGTTTTGGAATTTATCGATGATGAAAAGACAAAAATGCCCTCACTGTATGTATTTTCATGTTCTTTACAGATACAGAAAAAGACAAAAACAAGACTTTTCTTTTTTGTTTTTTTGGTTCGAAAAAACAAGGCTCCTTGTAATACGTTCCGTGTCATGTGCCAACGGGAAACTAAAACAAAAACAAAAAACAAAAAATAAAAAAAATTATTGAAAAGTTGCGTGGTCTTTGTGTGGTTGTCAAATGCAGACGTGGACAACGGAAGTCCAAGGAAAACAAAAATTTAACACAATTCATAATACTACGTAACTAGCCTATCACCCGTGCATAAATATTTATATTTATTTTAGATTTTTTTTAATATATAAATTATATTTTTTAAGATTTTTTATAAAAATAATTTAACAATCTAAGGTTTAAGGAATTTTTTTTTTATACTTGTTCTTAATGTATTAAAGTGTTATTATAAGGGTAAGGCTTGAGGGGTTGTGAGAAATTAATAAATGCTAAGTTTTTTTTTCAAATAAAAAAATCAAGAAATTTAGATTGGAATATTAGAACTCCCACAAAACTTGTGGGTTAGAGATAGATATAAATAAATAAATAGATATAGATATTTATATTTATATTTGTTTTAAATTTTTTTTAATATAGAAATTATTTGTTTTGGAAAAAGTACTACAGCAATTATAAGTGAAGTCAAAAAGTCTTGTGGGTTAAGAGAAGTTAATAAATGCTGAGGTTAACTTTTTTTTAAAAAAATAAAAAATTAAAAAATTAGGATTGACATATTAAAACTCCTACAAATCTTGGGGGTTAGAAACCCCCTTTTACTTAATATATAGGATAGATATCACATTATGCTTTTTTATAAATGAAAAAAAATCTAAAAACCATCCCCAACATTAATTTAAATTTGCTACACAGACATTGGACTGTATTGGGAATTTAGTATTTTGATTAACAAATTAGAAAATCAAGAAAAATTAAACATTACTCAAAAAAGTAAAAAAAAAATAATAATTAAGAAAAAATAAATGTCAGACACCATAGTGATTTCAATACAATTAAAAGAATTATTGATAAGTACATTAATTTTTTTTTTACCTTATAAAAAGAGAAAAAAATTTAAAACTACTTCAAAAAATCAATTACCAAATGAGCGCAAAATCAGTAGTGATTGAGAGCCCGAATTCTTCCGCCCCGAATGCCCCTAAACCACGAAACGACGCCGTTTCGTGGTTTTAATTTTTTTTTTTTTTTCTTTTCAGCAGAAGAAGAGAGACGAAGACGGAGGAGGGGGAGGGGGAAGGAAGACGAAGACGGAGGAGGAGGAGGGGGAGGGAGAGGGGGAAGAGGAAGAGGAGGAGAGGAAGGAACAAACTCATGGGCGACAGTGGAGAGGGACTCAGCAGGAGGGCGGTAGGAGAAGAAGAGGGAGCAAGCTCGTAGGGAATAGTGGAGATGCACTTATCAAGAGAGACCTCAGAAGGAAATGGATCAATGTAAACCAAATCTTCTTTGAAAACCGGAGCAGTGATAGGAGGAAACTGAAAGTAAGCTAGACATTCAAGAAAAGCAACATGGCAAGAGACATAAAGGCGACGAGAAACAAGGTCGTAATAGCGATAGCCTTTCTGGGTTAGACTGTAGCCTAAAAAGTTCGACCTTCCTCTGCGTCGAAAATGGCAGAAAAAAAGAAAAAAAAAAAAAAATTCGAGCCACATTCGAGCCAGGCATTTCGGGCCCTCAAACATTTTCCGCGCAAAATATATGGACATAGATCAGAAATGTCTTTTTTTTACTCCCTCCGTCCCATAATATTAGTCCCTTATTCCATTTTTCATTGTCCCAAAATATTAGTCTCTCTTCAAAAATCAAGTACAAAAATAATACTCCCTCTGTCCCAAAATATTAGTCCCTTATTCCATTTTTCATTGTCCCAAAATATTAGTCCCTCTTTATAAATCAAGTACAAAAATAATGTAAATTTCCTATTTTGTCCTTCTTTTAAATTAATAAACAATTTAAAAAGTACAATTATGACATTGATATTCCCAAAAAATGTACTATCAAAAGGGTAATTTTGGAAAACCAACTTTTTTCAAATGCAATAAGTGTACTACCAAAAAAAGTTGGATTCCCCAAAAGGGACCAATATTTTGGGACGGAGGGAGTATAAATTTCCCATTTTGTCCTTCTTTTAAATTCATAAGGCTTGGTTTGGGAAGTGGGTTGGCTTTTTGGCTTTTTGGCTTTTTTGGCTATTTTAGCCTGGGATTAAAAGCTTGGTTTGGGAAGGGCTTTTTGGCTTTTTGGCTTTTTTGAGTTTTTTTGTGAGAGAAGAATGTAATGATTATGGGTTGGATGTGATGTTTTGTTTGTTATGGCTAAAATAGCCTATTTTGTTTTTTGTGGCTAAAATAGCCAAAAAAACCTGCAAACCCACTTGCCAAACACAGGCTAAATAATATAAAAAGTACAATTATGACATTGATATTCTCAAAAAAGTGTACTACCAAAGGGTAATTTTGAAAAACTAACTTTTTAAAAGTATAATAATTGTACTACCAAAAAAAAAGTTGAATTCCCCAAAAGAAACCATTATTTTGGGACGGAAGGAGTATCAAAGATCAGAAATGTCGACCTTGGGAAGATATACATGTGGTGTTGGGTCAGGCGATCTACCCACGTGGGTGGGCCACTCCAATTGATTAGGCTGAACGAAAAAACAAAAGACAATTACATCAGTGATACTTTTAAAAAATAAGAGTGGTGATTCATCCCATTAATTTTTGAATCATTAATAATTTTAATGAGTTTTAAAGAAAAAAAAAAAAACAAACTTAAATCAAAACATAACATCACTTTGATGGGGGCTATTGTGCCACATCATTAGTGATGCTCTAGAGCTTTAGTGCTCTAAAACATTATTCAAAAAATAATTACCCATCAATAGAAAATTTTATGATTTATATTTAGGGTGTTTTTGTTTGGACGGACTGGATAATGAAGAATTGTAATTCATCGGACTGTTAGTTTTGAGATACATTGTTCCCAGACTATTTTGTTGAACTGGATTTGTATCCTATGTTTGTTTAGTTAAGAGATTATATGTCTAGATTGGACTATTTTTAATGTATTCAATGTTTGGTTAGACGGACTGGATAAGAATAAATATTCAAAAGACTATTTTATCCTTATAATTTATAATTTTTGTTTAATATATAATTTTAAATTTGTAATCTATAATTTATAATTTAACAATACTAAAAAATTTTAATTTATAAGGCCATAATTTTTAATTTATTATTTTCAATTAAATTAAATTTATAATTTATATTTTTTATTTAATATATAATTTTAATTTAACAACACTAAAAAAATTTAATTTATAAGGTCAGAATTTTTAATTTATAATTTTTAATTAAATTTAATTTATAATTTATAATTTATATTTTTTATTTAATATATAATTTTAAATTAACAACACTAAAAAAATTATTTAATATATAAATTTAATTTTTTAACAACACTAAAAAAATTATAAGGCCATAATTTTTAATTTATTATTCTTAATTAAATTAAATTTATAATTTATATTTTTTATTTAATATATAATTTTAAGTTAACAAAACTAAAAAAAAAAAATTAAACAATATTCAAAAGATTATTTTACCATTTTTCAATTGTTTATTAAGTAATAGCATGATTGTAAAATAGACATTTCACACATTAGTCTCATGGGAAACCAATCCCATGGAAATAATCTCACCCCTTCCCCTAGGATACAATAAACTCTTATATGAGGGACTAATAGTCCGAAGGAACTATTAATCTGGAGCAAAAAAATTGAACCAAATAATAGACTATTAGTTCGGATGGACTAATAGTCCAATCCCATGAAATAATCCCTCTAAACAAACACACTCTAAATGTATATATAAAATTTATAATTAATTTAAAAATATTTTAACAAATCCACATTGAACTGATATTTTTCAAAAAAAAAAAAAACTAAATTGATTAGGCTAAAAAAATAAAAAAATAAAAATGTGTGGCCTGAGAAATTGAAAAAGGGGAGAATTACGATTTAGTGGTCTTTTAAAAAAATATTTATATATAGGTAAAAAATTTAACATTTTAATTATTAATATTTTATAAAATCTATCACTAATATATATATTTCCCTAAATTTACATTGAATTGTAATTTTTTCTTAAGAAAATAAAATAAAAATAATTAGGCTCAAAACGCTATGTGCACACTACTAAAAAAAACACTTTTTGCGACCGCTATAAACCGTCGCAAATAATAAAAAAACAGTCGCAAAAAACCTTTTGCGACGGCTCATGCGACGGCAAATGGGGGTCGCGAATGTGGGGGTGGCAAATACTTTTTGCGACGGCAAAGCAACGGTCGCAAATTATTCGCGACTGCCTAAACTACTTATAGCGACTGCTATTTTACCGTCGCAAAAAACAAAGAAAAACACTAACATGATTTTTGGCGACCATCTTGTTACCGTCGCAAAAAAAGAAAAGAAAAGAAATTTATCCTGATTTTTAAACTAGGTGAATTGTACTTCAAGGATTAATTTGTTGTATTATAAATAGACCATTTAGGTATGTATATATAATTTGTTACCTAATGTAGACATTCAAATTTCTTATTAATATAAAATATATGCATGTATATATATATATATATCTTGCAAGTGTGTTCTTATATGTAGTAAAACTAGTTCTAACAATCATCTAAAAAATTCTTATGTTGCGAATCATATTTTGTGATTATGTTATGAATGATAACAAGGTTTCTGAAAATAGATTTTCTTGTTATTTCTTCTATCTTAAGAGTAGATGTAACTTAAATTTATTTTTATGTGTTTTTGTACAAG